AAACCATCCCTTGGCGGAATGGCCATGCCAAATTCCCTCTTCTTCCATTCTCCTCCTGGGATTTTGGGCACACACGCACATACATACACCTGGAGTGAAGGTCCAGGACTTGAACCGCAGTCGGCCGTGTGGGAGTCCAGCACCTTAACCACCATACACCTGTTGGCCCCCTTCCTTAGACTCTTACTATTTCCCCCACCTTCAGTCTGAATATTTTTGCTGACTGCATAATGTTTTAAATAACATGTCAATATTTTATTAAGGTCATCATTTAAAAATAAAAATTATTGTCTTACTATGATAGCTACCATATGTGTAATATAATTAGCCCAATCCATGCTAAGTGTGAATGAAACAGGCCTTGATACTGATTATATCTGGACTAAGCAAAGGCATCATATTTGTATAGCATCATTTCCAGCTGAAGAAAACCTGAATGTTTTTCTGCTGCAGTCTAACAGGAAGAATACAGAAACAAACATACCTTTCAGAATTTAGCAATATCAGAAACATATTTTTCTTTTACTTTCTACCAAACCATTCCCAACTCAGGCTCACCCCATGATGCAGTAGTAAAGTGTGCTCAAGAGATGCTGGAGCCCTCAGGGTGACTGTGGTTCAAATCTAGGCTCACCCACCGGGCACACCAGGGGACTGTGGTTCAAATCTAGGCCCATGCACCTGGCACACCGGGCACATGTGCAGGTGCCAGGATCTAATGGGCCAGAAGACTGGAGGAGGAGGATGGGCCCATGGAGCTCCCCTCTCTTTCTCAGACACACATATGTGTGTGTACATACCCTGTTGTGAATTTAAAAAGAAGCCTTTAAAAAGAAAACCCAAACCATGCCCAGCTCATCAGAATGTCACAATTTAATTACTATTATTACTTTTTTGGGGGACCAGCAGTTAGCATAATGGCCATGTCGCTGAACTCCCACGTAGTCGACTGTGGTTTGAATCCTGGACCCGGTGGCTTAAACTCACGCCGGGCGCATGTGCGTGTGTGCCCAAGATCCCGTGAGGAGAACGGAGGAGAAGGGATTGCGGCGTGGCCATCCCCTTTGGGGGGTGATTTCTCACTTTCTGTCTCTCTGTCTCTGTCTGTCTGGCGAGTGCATGTGCCCTATAGCAAAAACCTCTCCAAAAGAAGAAAAAAAAATGAATTACTATTATTATTTTTTAGATTAGCTCAAAGACTTTCTAGGTGCCGGACCAGCAGGAGGCATGGTAGTTAAGGTGCTGAATTCCCACATGGCTGACTATGGTTTCAGTCCTGGACCTGGTGACTCAGAAATCACTCTGGGCACGTGTGAGTCTCCCAAGAGGGTAACGGAGTAAAAAGAGACTGTGGCATGGCAGCACCCTGGGAGACCATTTCTCACTTTCCCTTTCATTGTCTCTCCGTCTCGGTCTCTCTCCATTGAGTGCATGTGCCCGACGGCAAAACCAAAATCAAACAATCAAGAAAACACAACTTTTTAGGTACTACAAGAAGTATTGGAATGACAGTTGATCTCATTTACATATACCTTGATTTTCAACCCTAACATTGCAAAATGATCTAACAGAAAACAATATTAATCTTAAGAAATGAGCAAGATGAAACAATGCTATTTCTGTTTGATGAATAATCTAGTTGGGAAGACATTGAAAAACACAGTAATACAACCGAGAATCCTATTTTAAGATTTTTAATTGCTACTTATTCAGTAATTCATGATCTTCACTTGACATATGTTTTCATTCACATGATTTGAATGTTAATGTTGACTCTTGATTAAATCTATAGGAGCAAAATATTAAGAGAAGGCATATCCAGAAAATGTTGAAATACCTAATCACTGTTTTTGCATTTCAGAGACTCATCACAACAGTTACATGATCATCTGCCTAAACTCTAAAATCACTTTGCCTACATAGATGATTTTTGCAATAATAAACAAATAACGTCACACTAAACAGCATCATGCATACTTTAATACTGAGGCATAAGAGCTTCCAAATGACTAGACACTGTGAGGAGACGAAGCTACTAGGACCAATAACAGAATTTCTAAAACGTTGTTCTAGGCGTGTGACTTTGCCAGAGAGAGACAGAGACAGAGAGAAATAGAAGGGAAAGTGAGAAAGCATCCCTCAGGGGGGTGGCCGCACCACAGTCCCTTCTCCTCCTCACCCTTCTCAGGGTTTTGGGCATGCACCCACACATGCCTGGTGAGTTTTTCAAGATGTCCAGTCCAGGACTGGCACAGCGCAGATAGCCGTGTGGGATCCAGCCACCTGAACCATCAATGCCATCTGACTGGCCCCGAGACGTTTTGTTAGATTAATAGCTACCAATAACAGAATGCACTTTTGTTTTCTGAACACTGGATATATGGAAGTGCGGGTGAATCTACAACTTCACATATTTTGAGTAATTTATGGTGTCATCTTCTCCAGGCAGATGGTGATGTCAGTCCTAAGGGGAGCTCGCTGGACTCACGCACGTGCCACACTCCGTGACCTGAACTTGCGAGGACTACAGCTCGTTCCAAGCTTTATTGTTTTACATCCGCCCGCACGATGCTACCTTTGCAAATAAATGAATTTCAAGTTAAACGGCTAGTAGTTCATGTCAGTGACAGTGTCATTTAGACCAGCCCCTCCAGCGGGCTGTCACACAGGTTGTGGGTGGCTGAGAATGAAGGTGAGCCACAGTGAGGTGACAAATGAGGACACGCGCCCCGTCTCTGTCAGAGTTGGCACAAAGAGAGAATCAGGAATGTCATGAAGGTCGTACCTGTGAGGCTGGTCAGGACACTGCCCGGTTTGGGGAGAATCTAGCTGATTTTTATCCTGGGACATGGCCAATTTTTCAGCTGCAGCAATTGGACAACCAGAAAGACTGTTTCAAGAAAGAAAAAAAAAGGAGAATCTGAGTTAAAACGACAATGTGGTTGGCTTTGGCCCAGGCCCACACTGAGTGTTAAGTCACATGAATAGTTTACACGCACCATCTCATACTAAACGTCCCTGCAAGCTGGCAACGTCAAAACAAGTCACCCAATCCCGACTCAGAGGTGACAGGTAACAAACTCTTTTTTTTTTTTTAATGGAGATTTTTGCTACAGGGTGTATACACTTGCTAGAGAGACAGAAAGCAAGAAATCACCCCCTGGAGGGATGGCCCCACTGCAGTCGCCTCTCCTCCATTCTCCTCTTGGGATTTTAGGCATGTAGGCACACACACCCATGAGTCTCAAGCTCCCAGGTCTGGGACTTGAACCATGGTAGGCCACAGGGAAGTTCAGTGCCTTATCCACTATGCCACCTGCTGGCCCCACAAACTCATTCTTAAACCCATAATAGTACGTAAGGGAGAAACAACTGAAGCATTCCAAAGCTTCTCAATATTGTAAGCATGATGTGTTCGTACTATGGCAATGAGTCCAACTGTAGGCGTCAGCATGGCCATTCTGTGACCATCTGAGGATCTTTTAGCAAAACCTCAGGGTCTGAATTTTGTATCTCGGTTCACATCGAAAGTGTGGAATGTGAAGATTTCTGGAAATATGGTTTTATGCCGAATAGTGCTTCCTATTCACATATGCACGTGTGCTATAAAATGCCAACGTAAAGCAATCAGCGTTTTCACCGAAACCATTTATACATACAGAATACATCTGCGTATGAACACATGCTACATGTGCTTCGTGCGAATTGCAGTTATCGGTGAATGGTGTTAACGCTCACCTGGTTTACAGTAAAAACTACCAGACAGAAAAGCTCTTTTGGTACCTTTTTAGCGCTTGTTGGGTAGAATCCAAGATAACCCATAAGCAACTCTTTTCAGTGTCAAAACAGCAGGAAAAGCTCCAGAGCAAAAGAGAGCATATTCCGTTTGCATGACTACCTGAATGTATAACCCCGGCACCTACAATTATAACATGTTTTAGGATCATAACTGGCTGCTAATATAAAAAGTTTTAGGAAAGAAAAAAAGCTAATTTTCCTTTCTTTTTGACTCCCCATGTGCGGAGGGTTTTTCCTATCTATGTCAAGTGGTTCCACGTTCGATAGTAACACAGCAATTTTCATAACACATTATTAACGCAGTATCTTATTGCTGGACAGTGTCTCTCACATTTGGTTTTGTTTGCTTAGACAGAGTCTCGCCGTACTGCAGCCCTCCTCCTTCAGCCTCCAAGGAGCTAGGACTACAGGTATGTATCCCATGTCAGGCTTTTAGGCTGGGCAGGGAATCAAAACTGGGTCTCCCTGTGGCCTCAGCTCCCCAGGTAACAGCATCTACCAGCACACACTCCTACGACCGGGCCACCCATTTTTCCAATATGGCATGAGCATGTTGTGAGAATTACCTCCGGTGGGTGTTGCGGTTGCTGTTCACGTGGCCCCTTCCTGTGCATCCCGGGGTGGGGCACTTGAGCACGTTCTCATGCATGGCGAGAACTGGGCACGATCACATGGAAGGGAAGAACGGCTACCGTGAGCACAGAGCACAGACAGTCTGTCCCCCAGCGCATCCACGGGCTGTAGGTACACAATTTGCTCTGCTCCCTCCCCATGCACTAGGGGTCTTCAAATAGTTCAGGGAGACGCCTATTACGAGAAAACATGCCTGGATTTCGAACATTTTAATACCAATATAAACTTACACTTTAATTTCATGTTTGCATGCACTCTTCGTAGCTTCCTTAAATATCCAGCTTAAAACAAATATATGTTTAGGAACTTCAGAAATTATGAGCCTGCAGGTGGCGTGGTTGTAAGAGCACTGGATTCCCACATGGCTGACCACGGTTCATGTCCCAGACCTGGTGGCTTGTTTTCTTGCTCTCTCTCTCTCCCCTTCTTTCTTTTTCTCTCTGGTGAGAACACATGCCCTATGGCAAATTAAATAACAATAATAAATAAAATTAAATAACTGCTTTCTAAAAAAGAACTTCACAAAGTAAATCCAGCAATCTTGTTCAATTTATCTAATTTCCACATTACGTCTCATTTGTTTATTTTTGCTTATTTCTCCAGGGAGAGAGAGCAAGAAAGGACGTTCTCACTCTTCAGTCGCACCCCAGCCCCAGCCAGCCGGGTGCGAGACCCTAGGGGCATTCCATGAGCACGGTCGAAGTCCGTGACCTGTGCAGGGGGGCCCGGGACCTTCATGTGGCCTCGGCACCGTGCAGTGCTGTTACTGCCACTCCATGGCAGGCTGTGAGCTCCACATTTTGTGTAACACTGGACTAGAATAAGACCGATCTGCAGGTATGAAATTTGAAATGAGATGCTCATAACCTCCTTTTCACATTTATGTGCTTTTCTTTGAGGAAGTGGCTGGAGAACATTAATGATTTGCCTCCCAGTTCTGTTCATCTTTTCCCCATAGTTTAAGGTTGCGCGTACACTCATTATCTTCTTCTTTTTAATTTGCTAGTGGCCACACATGCTCCCAAGAGAGATAGCGATAGGGAACATGAGAAAGCTCTCCCATGGGGCCTGGTCACACTGAAATCCCTTCTCCATTTCTCCTGCTTTTCAGGATTTTCGGCCCATGTGCATGTGTGCCTGGCATGTGTTTCAAACCACTGGGTGCAGGACTTGATCCTCAAGGTCGGCCATGTAGGATCCAGCTGCCTTAACCCCCACAACACAAACAGTCTTCTTTATTTCCTAGTGATATTATTTTGACCCATAGTCCATCTGTCCCCTGACTCCACATCGTCCCCTGCCATTTGGTCATTGGCAAAAGGGCACAGTGCAGTGAGCACTCGAGACCCAGGCTGACGAACTGCCCACTCGGCAGGATAGTGCTGAGCTGACCAGATCAGATGTGATGCTCAAACCTGGCCTTTGAGAAGGGTGATGGTGAGAGGTTCTCACTTCTGTACTTTTTATAGCCCAAGTTCCCATTTCTATACTTTTTCTAACCTCCTACTTCAGACCGCAGAGGATGGAGCAGTTGGTCCTTCACAAGTGAGAGGGTTGTGAGGCCCTTCCTAGCTCACAGTGGGGCTGGACATGGAGAGATGGGCTGGGTTTCTCCTGCTCAGGGCTCCTGCTGCTGAACACAGCACATGTCCCCACTGGGGGAGGCCAGGAGGACACGGTGACTGGCCTGCGATGCACAGACACTAAGACTGACGCTGGGCTTGAGGATGCCTGGTCCCAGCTGAGAGGACAGCGTTGTCGCACTATCAAACTCTTATTTTCTGCATTCAGATGCTTTGAGCTGGGGGCCTTGCTGACCCTGGAGAATCTGCCCCTCTCAGGGCTAGTTATCAGAGAGAGAAGGAACACACGCACGCTGCGTGTGTGTGTGTGTGCGTGTGTGTGTGTGTGTGTGTGTGTGTGCGAGAGAGAGATCAGGAGAAAGAGGGAGGGAGAAAGTGGGTATTTTAACAGGACCTAGCAGTTGCGACCCTCTGCCGTCGCCCCCCAGGCAGTGAGGGTCACAGGCACACCCTCCCGTGCATGACCTGTTCAGGGTGGTTCAGGACCCAAACCTGGGCCTCCCACAGGTGGGGCTCTCCTGCTTGTGTGCTGAGGCTGGGCCCCATGAATGCACTTCTAAAATGCAAATGACCCGGCCTGCAGCCCATGCTGAGCCTTGTCTTTTCCTGGGTCCTCAACCTCTAGGTCACTGCCTCCTGCCGAATCAGCCCAGGGCCAGGTCCCACACAGCTGGAGACTGCCCTACGCAGGGGATCTCACTGAGATCAGGAGACCCAGCTGGTCCTAAACCTGCTGACCCCAGCTCTGCTTCTTCCTACAGAAGCCACGAGGGCCCCTCCCACAGTCCCCTCACCCCCTCTGCTCCATCCGACCCTGGTGTTTCCCACAAGGGCCCTATGGCAAGCCAGACCCCTTCTCTTGGGAACGGAGTACGAGCCTTTTCCATGACAATTGCTTCTTGATCTGTTGGGCTTATTACACCTCCCATTTTCTGTTAGCACCCCATATTTTAAAACACACTGCTGGACGGACACTGGGCTGATGTGGAGAGAGAAAATGCATGTCCCTTCCCGCCACACTGCAAGAGAAAGGCGCTTGCTTCTGCCAGGGCTGAGCGGTACTCACTTTCCAGGGGAACCCGCACTTTGTGGGGGCACCCCGAAAGGCTGCGATGGTGAGGGTAGAGCCCCGTCACGTGTCCTGTGCCATCGCACCCAGGGATGGGGCACTTGGTCTCTCTCTTTTCAGGCCTTGGTGAATCTACGGACAAATTAAATTGAGAAATGTATTTGGTTATTCTTCCCATTCAATAGCGTGGCCTTGCAGGGTGACATTCTCACTTTATTCCATTTTGCTGTCATAAACATTCTTCTCACATTGCCTTGAATAAAACCCTCAACTAAGACCTGTGGAAACAGAAAACATGTTTTCAATTTTCTTGGTTTCCTAAGCAAAGGCTGACAGGGCAGGGAGTGCTGAAATGCAGAGATGGTTTTGAGTTGCCATGTCGCATATCGCAGTGGGAGCCTCATTATGAAAAATCAACCCTATGCCAGAGTTTGAGCAGGCTCCCAAAAAGAAAAAAGAAAACTGACAAAGAAGAAAGAATTTATTTAATCTCAAACCATTTTTTATGGAAAGAGTTTTTTAGAAATATTCAGAATTACTAAATAAACCACTGTCTGAGAAAGGCCTCTCTGGCCTTGACCTGATGGGGCTCTTGAACCTTGTGCCCTGGGCTGGGGTCCACCTGCTACCTGTTCATTGCTCCCTGAGGAGCCACGACAACAGTTAGGAGAGGGGACAAGAATGCCACCTCGAGCTGGGTCCCCTTCCCACCCAGCAAAGCTGTAGGGTCCTAATGGGTGGCTGCCACTTTGGGCCAGTGTGCCACTAGAGGGGGAGCGGCAGCCACCGGGGTCACTCCGAATGCGGAAGCTGAACAAAGAGGCCATGGAAGAAGGCCAGGACAGGAGAGATCTTGCTGGAGCTCACAGAAAACGGGAGGGCAAGATGGGGCACCTTCCCAGGCTGGGGAGGCTGCAGGAACGCGGGCAGGAAGGGACACTGCAGCTGCTTCTGTCGAGCTGCTGTGGCCCCGAGCGGGCACGGGGCACTGAGCCCTAGCTGGGGATGAATTTTCTGGCGCGCACACGGCTGCGGGTGTATAGATATATAAGTAAGTGCGGACTAGGCGTGAATTCCGATGTGGTCAGCGCTAACACAGCCATGGCCTTGTGCGGAGGTTTTCCTGTTTGTGACTGAGATGGTAGATAAGCCTGTCCCCTAAGTCGGTGCAGTGCCCACTCCGGGGAAAGCCTGTCTCTTAGCAGGCAGGGAGGACCTGCGGGATCCCGAGAACACTGAGCGTCAGGAATAGCCAGCACGCTTGATGCTGAGAGCGAAAATAAGGACCCGGCGTGATCCTGCCCAGAAGCTGCGGCGTTGTAACACAGGAAAGGCCCCGTTGGCCAGGATGGAGAGCCCCATATGCTCCTGCAGGAGAGCTGCCGAGAGCCAGCCACCGTCGCCGGGCGGCAGACATCCCCAGGCGGAGCGAGGCAGGAGCAGACGTGCCTCTGCGACACCAGGTCACCCCAGTTGCTGGATGATGCAGTCCCGGACAGATGGGCACAGCAGGTTGTATGTAACGCAATTACACAGGGCCTGTGTTCGCAAAATGGGGAGGAGCCGGGAGGTGTCACCTGTGACACCATTGCCACCCAGGAGGGTCTGAGCAGCGCCGAGCTGTGAGTGAGCGCAGAACAGCCGCGGCTGTGTCCCTCAGCCGACAGGGACATGCCCAACTGCAGACATTTAGGACAACCAGGGACAGGACTTAGGTGCAAAACGGTAGAGACTACACCCAGAGGTTTCTAAGAGACAGAGGCATCAGGAGTCTGCGAGAGCCTGCGATGCTGTGGAGACAGACTTCACCCAGAGTGCCCAAGTTTAGGTTGATTTGGCTTGGGGAAGCTCTGGACCCCTAGGGAACTCCCCACAGCTTAGCTGGTGGGAACCGAAGAGGATGTCTGTCCTAGGAGGGCAAGTTAGAAAAGCATGGAAGGGGACCAGCAATTAGGGTAATGGCTATGTCGTTGGACTCCTACGTAGTCGACCGTGGTTCGAGTCCCGGTGGCTTAAAACTCATGCCGGGTGCGTGTGCGTGCGTGCCCAAGATCCCGAGAGGAGAATGGAGGAGAAGGGACTGTGGTGTGGCCACCCCCCGGGGGGGGATTTCTCACTTTCTATCTCTCTGTCTCTCTCTGTCTGTCTGGCGAGCGCACACGCCCTATAGCAAAAACCTCTCCAAAAGAAAAGAAAAAAAAGAAAAGCATGGAAGTTGAGGTACTAGATGCCCACCTACCTGACCAACTCTGGTTTGAGTTCCTGACCCGGTGGCTAGAAACTTACACTGGCCACTTGTGCGTGCATACCCAAAATCCCAGGAGGAGAATGGAGAAGGGACTGTGGTGTGGCCATCTCCCCCAGGGGTGACTTCTCACTTTCCCTCTCACTGTCTCTTTGTCTCTCTCCCCTCCAGGGAGTACACAGTTTCTGTGACAAAAACCTTAAAGAAAACAACCACCAGCAACAACAATAAAATGAGAGGAGCAACACAGAGGAGGAAACTTTAGAAAGTTCCTGGGAACAAGAATTAAGGTACGCGTTCATTTTGGTGCACACAATTGGCAATCCATGCACAGTTTTTTCATACTAGTCATTTTCTATGAACTTTTGGAAGCCTCTGGGTGTTTTGAGGGATCTTGTCCAAAGTCCTAAGCACATCAGAGAGTCTGGTGGGGAGCATCTGCTCTCCTTGCCATGGTGTTCACTACGGGATGATGGAGGGGGTCCTGACATGGTGCGAGGTGGGCACCTGCCCAGGCGGGGCCCACTGACGGCCCTCATGCACCTTGGTCTGCAAGCCTGTCCTCTGCTGATGCAACGGCAGTGCTTAACGGGCAGACTGTTTGTGTGATAAGAGCCAGCAGGTGGTGTGGTTGACTCTAACATGGCCAGCTGCAGTTCAAATCCTGGACCTGACACTTGCTTTCTTGATTTCCCTTTCAAGATAAATAATAATAATAATAACAAATGAAATTAAATAAAGAAGTAATTCTAAATTAAAGAAGCAGCAGCAGCAGAAGAAGAAACGAAGAGCCAGAGCAAGAGCTGGACGACTCTGCAGCCTGACTCTGCCTTTCCGTCCTCGGTCCAGGGCTGCACAGAGAGGTGGTCTTGCGCTCTGGCCATGTGACATCTTGGTTTCCTTGGTACTGTCCTCATCCACAACTGACATGCTCCTGCAGTTGTCCTCACGGCATCCCGTCGAGGCTGGGCACCAAACCGCGTGCTACTCATCTCACACTGTGACCTAAAGTCTCGCTAAATGCTCGGTAGCAATGACACAACCAAACTTGGTTTAGAACCCATCACTCACCTCAAGGCTTGGGCAAAACAAAATTTAAAAACCCTAGACTCCCCCATGAAATGCACTCCCCATTAGTGGCATGTAGAAGGCAGACGGGGAGTGAAGATGGTGTTGTGGAGAATACGGCTGTAGTTGGAATGAGTGTTGATTTAAGGGCATGGAATGCTTGTCGGAGGAAAAAAAAAACACATGTTGTACTGCTGGCTCCCACATCGGGAATAAGGAACGGGGATTTGGACTCTGCAGCAATGCTGTAAACTTAGCCTATTTTTCCCTACGAGGTGGGCTTCACCTTCCGACTGTTCGGTTCTAACCTAGCCTCCATCTCCTCAAAGAGACTTTTTAACGCCCCAGGGCAGAAGCATGCCCTACGGAACAGACTATGATATCATGCGTCCAGCAGCCCTGTGAGTAGTTCTCTAAGTCTTCAATGTGGCCTCATGTTTAAAAACACAGATATTATTACCATATTAAATTTGAAAACAAAAAAGTTATGCAAGTGTTCTAAAAATAAACAAAGGGTCATCCAGTATTTAAGCTATAGTTTAAATAATTAAAGCTCCTCCAAAGATATTTAAATATCTTTGTTTTTAAAAGATCATCAACTGTAAAATAAAACATCATTTCAGGTGTTAATAAGAAAGAAAAATTATTACTGGGACCAGCAGTTAGCATAATGGCTATGTCACTGAACTCCCATGTAACTGACCGTGGTTCGAGTCCCAGACCTGGTGGCTTAAACTCATGCCAGGCGCATGTGCGTGCGTGCCCAAGATCCCGAGAGGAGAATGGAGGAGAAGAGATTGCGGCGTGCCATCCCCCCTGGGGATGATTTCTTGCTTTCTGTCTCTGTCTTTCTGGCAAGCACACGCACCCTATAGTCAAACAAAACAAAACAAAACAAAACACCTCTCAAAAAAAAAAGAAAAAGAAAAAGAAAAAGAATTATTAATAATTAAACTATAGAATACCCTTCAGATTTCCAAGATGTTTGGCTGGGAAAGTTGTATCTCTTAAAAATCAATAAAATATTGAATATTAGAAATATGGATTTTGGGAAATTAGAGTAAATTCATCTTTTTTCCCAGATTTTGTAGCTCACGAAAAACAACAGTGGGCTAGCAGGTGGCAGGGTGGGTAAGGTGCTGGATTCCACATGACCAACTGTGTGTTTCGAGGCCCAAGACCAGCAGCAACATACTGGGTGCATGTGTGTGTGTGTGTGTGTGCCCAGAATCCCAGGAGGGGAATGAAGAAGAGATTGTGGTGTGGCCATCCCCCATGGCGGGGGGTGGGGAGTGTTTTCTCACTCTCCCTCTCTGTTTCTCTCTGGCAAGCAAATGCATCCTATAACAACAACAACAACAGCCACTTAAAAAATGCAATAATAGAGAAGTGAACAGGCTGTGTGTTAGGAGGAGGGCATGGAACGGGGTACAGTGGTCTGTCTCGATCCCCACGGGCGTCATTACTCTGCAGTAGTGATGCAAACCCTGCAAGGTGTCCGGTAGCATCACAGTCTTGCTCCTCATTACATGATAGTGTTTATTCGTTTTTGTTCCCTCGGCTCTGAGGTGCAAAACTTTATTTGTCAAGATTGCAAGCGAGGGAACCAGCAGTTAGCGTAATGGCTATGTCGCTGGACTCCCACGTAGTCGACCGCGGTTCGCGTCTCGGACCCGGTGGCTTAAATCTCACGCCGGGCGCGTGTGCGTGTGTGCCCAAGATCCCGAGAGGAGAATGGAGGAGAAGGGATTGCGGCGTGACCATCCCCCCTGGGGGGTGATTTCTCGCTTTCTGTCTCTATGTCTCTCTCTGTCTGTCTGGCGAGCGCACGCGCCCTACAGTGAAAATCTCTCCAAAAAAAA